GTTGTCCTTAATCCTGGACGCTAGCCTGAGTTCCATCTCTGCATTGGTCTTCCTAAACGCCCTCCTACACTCACGGGCCAAGGAGGAGTACTTCTCCTTGGTGATAGCTCCTCCCTTGCACTGGTTGTTTGCCCCCCTTCTAGTCCTCAGGCATTGCTGAATGCCCTTGCTGAGCCAAGGGGGTTTCTGAGCACTCTTACCCCACTTGCTTCTCTCAGGGACTGTTACTCTTTGGACCTGGAGGATTGCCCCCTTAAGGTACGACCATCCCTCGTGGACTCCCATCTTCTCTACCTTCTGGGCCCCCAGTGCCTCCCCCTCTAGTCTCCTAAGCTCATTCATGTTGGCCCTTCTGAAGTCAAGGGCTTTATCCTTGGTGTAAACCCTTGACACCCTGCGTTGGATAGTGAAATCCAGCAGGTGATGATCGCTATTGCCCAGGTGCTCAAGGATCTGCAGTCCCCTCACCAGGTCATCCCCCATGGCCAGGACCATGTCCAGCAAGGCATTACTCCTAGTGGGGCTGTGCACTTCCTGGATAAGGTGAAGGTCCTGTAATACAGCCAGAAACCTATGCGAGTGGGCAGACGTGGCTGTCTGCTCCTCCCAGCAAATGTCGGGGTAGTTTAGGTCACCCATGACCCAGTAAAAGTGTAGGGAGTGAAAGTTGCCAGAACTGAGATTAGAACCAGTGGACTAGAGAGAAGCTGGCTGAGGAACTGAGGCTTGGGGTTACTTAAGGTAGATTGGGGCTGGAAGCTGAGGCAGACAGCTGAGATTTTGGAAGGGGGGGGGCAGATAAGTGGTGGTTTAGCCAGGAATGAGAGAGAGAGGCAGAAACCTGGGAGCTTGGGGCTGGAAACAGTCTGACAGCTTAGAGACCGGGGGTGGGGGCAGATAAGTGGTGGCAAGGAGGAAACAGTTAGGAAACAGACGAAAACCCAACTCGGGGTTTCAAAAGAACAGGTTTATTAAACAGACAGCACACCACACAGCCCCATGAAGTTATTGGTGTGCGCGCGCGCACACACACACACACACACGGAGGCAGTGGGAAAAAGAGACTCAGTGGAAGGGCTGGAGTCCAGGTAGGGAAGAGAAACAGAGTCCAAGTCCTTGGTTGAAGAGAGGGTGGGGGGTGATAGCTACTTATCCAGGCTGGAAAGGGGTCTTTGTCCAGTAGGTGTTGTCCAGAGGGAGGGGCGGGGGGGTCACCAGCAGGGCCTCTGTGTGGATAGGTAGTGTGGCATGGTGCTGGTCCAGATGGAGAGGGCGTTCCAAGGAGTCAGTCTTCACTTCCTCTTTTATGGTGCAGACTACCTCTGATCTCCTATGGGGAGGGCCTGTCCAGGCAAGGTCAGTCCTGTTCCAGAGGGCCCCAGGTGTTCTTACTGAGCATGTGTAGCTTGGCACAATGGTAGGTTGCCTCCTCTTTTGTTTCTTGAATGCTGAGGGTGATTCTAAGGGCTGGGTCATTGGTCCAGGTATTGGTGTTGATAGTTTGGTCATTCAGAGAGAGCTATTTTTAGATCTACTGCCATTGTCTCTCAAGCACCCTCATTCATCCCCCTTCATTCAGGAACCAAGTTACATAGGAGGGGTAGGTATGAGTCATGGGTTACACAACTGTGCCTGGGGACAGGATGGAGACTTGACAAACAAAATAGAAACTTGACATCCGACTCTACAATCTATGAATCTAAGGGACCACAATGGATCATCGTGTCCGACCCCCTGGCCCTGGCAGGAAAGAGGACCGAGGTCAGATGACCCCAGCCAGGTGACTGTCTAGCCTCCTCTTGAAGACCTCCAAGCTAGGTGATAGCATCACCTCTCTTGGAAGCCCATTCCAGATCCTGGCCACCCTTACTGTGAAAAATTTCTTCCTAATATCTAACCTAAATCCACTCTCAACTAGTTTGCACCCGTTATTCCTAGTCACTCCCTGGGGTGCCTTAGTAAACAGCGCTTCCCCTATTCCCCGTTGACCTCCCCTAATAAATTTATAGGCAGCCACAAAATCTCCCCTCAGCTGTCTCTTGTGAAGGCTGAAGAGATTCAGTTTTCTCAACCTCCCCCCCCATAGGGTCTATCACAAAGGCCACTAATCATGCGAGTGGCCCTCCTCTGGACCCTCTCCAGATTCCCTGCGTCCCTCTTGAAGTGCGGCGCCCAAAACTGGACACAGTACTCCAACTG